GGACAAAGCATTTTCGAGGGAGTTTAAATGTAATGTGAAGTAACTCCTTTTTCTTATATTAATAGAACGTTGTTTTTTTGTTTCGACAGCAGCACTTCTCATCGAACACTGAAGATTCTCCAAAGTCAATAGTACTAACTAATTTAATAGTATGTTCAGCGAATAACAGGTGTTCCCACAGATGTTAAAACGTGGCAGGTGTTGTGTTGTGCATTATGTAGCCCAATATATTTACACAAATGATCGTGTGCACTCTTTCATTCTCTCTATATCTCCCTCTCTCTCTCTTGCTATTTCTCTCTCTCTCGCACAAATATACAAACTAATACGTACATGCACACACACACACAAAATAAACAAACATAAACACATGCAAACACACGCACACAATACTACACACGATGTATTCTCAACAAGCCTTAGTAAAATCATTCTACTTTTCTCTTATTTACCAACCCCTCTCTCTTCCTCCTTTCATATCCCCTAATTCATCTCAATAATTCAACCATAAACTAATAATTCTCCGTCTTCCCTAATTGTTTTTCTTCAAAAATGTTTTCTAAATGTCAGGTTCTCCGCCCTGCCTCCGGCCATTGCTCAAATTCAAATAGTAGTGGGAATGAGCTATTCATTTTTCAGTTTTATTCGTTTTTCTAATTGTGGTCATATCCATCGTCCTCGTTATCACTTGCAAACAACTATATCATTAACATGACCGGAATAGATTCGTAATAATGATAATAATAAACATAATATTTACGAGAAAAATGAGCCTGCTACTGCTAATACTTATGATAATTTCATAATAACAATGTTAATATAACTGTTGGTAATCATATCAATAGAATAAGAAAATGGAAAATGACAATGATCATAAAGACAATGAGACAAACAGAGAGAATGAAAGCGAGAGTGATTCTACGTTTCAGATAACTAGAAAGTATATAATAAATATATATATAAATATACATATTTATACACATATACCTATTCATACATATACATACATACATACACATATATATATATGTATGTATATACATATATACATATATATATATATATATATATATATATATATATATATATATATATATATATATATATATAGAGAGAGAGAGAGAGAGAGAGAGAGAGAGAGAGAGAGAGAGAGAGAGACAGAGAGACAGAGAGACAGAGAGACAGAGAGACAGAGAGACAGAGAGACAGAGAGACAGAGAGACAGAGAGAGAGAGACCAATAAAAACAACGCAAGGAAACACCAGGGCAGACCACGCAAGAGAGCGAGAGCGTGAGACAGAGCAATCCCGGAGCACTGGCCGTTCGATGCACAAGACACGCCATCAGCAAAGAGGCTCATAACTTGGCTCACCATCTGTCCAAAAACTATAAGGGACGAAGATACAATTGGCGGCGGGCAGTTTGGCCCGTTTGCGCCTGCTGTTTCAGTTCATAGATGGCGCTAACGAGAGTCTTTGGCGGCGTCGTCTGCTTATTTTTCGTCTTCGGTGCCTTTCTGTCCAGTGGGCGGCGGGGGTCGGACTTCGGTGAGCAGGAGGCCGTCATCAGTCACTGCTTGTTACAGCTTTTCTGAGGTTAAAGACTAGGTCACGATTTTTATAGGATGTGTGTGTGTGTGTGTGTGTGTGTGTGTGTGTGTGTGTGTGTGTGTGTGTGTGTGTGTGTGTGTGTGTGTGTGTGTGTGCGTGCGTGCGTGCGTGTATGCGTGTGTGCGTGTGTCCGATATATCAAAATAATTAATTAAATGCATTATGTTTCTGGATTTTACATCAGAATAAAAAAATATATATATAAATAAAAAACAGGAAAACAAGGCATTCTAGTTATCTTAATCATCGCACTCCGCTGAAATACTTTCCCGACATTTCTTTTAAAACATATTTTCAATTACATTCCTCGTTTTTCCAACATCTCTGACGATATTCTTAATTCATGAAATATTTTCAAAATCATTTTTAGAAATTTAGCTAAAATATGAAAATATTTCCTCCAGAACCTAAAACATTTTCCTTAATATTTCATATGATGTCCCTCCTCCACCAAAAAAAAAAAAAATCTAATATATGGCATCTTTAATTAGGTTATTCAAATAATTTCAAAAATATTTTTGACAGTTAAGCTTCTGGATTTTTTTCGAGTCTTCCTACTGTTTTCCACTTTTTTTTTTCTCCAAAGTTAACCCTTATTCTTTATTTATTCCTTTTATTAATCATTTATTTATTCCTGCATTTATTATTATTTTTCGTTTGTAAGTTTGAGTTATTAATTTGTTCATTTATCTTTATCGATTCTCGTACCCATCTTTATCGCGTTCATCTCTTCCATACATTTATTTCATGTCCTTGACCTCCTTCCTCTCTCCTTCCCTCCCTTCCACCTCCTTTATCATCCCTTCGCTACGCACGTCCATCCTCGAGTCACATCTCCCTTTCATTCTCTCTCCCTTTCTTTCTATATATTGATTTTTATTTGCCTCTGTCTTCTATTTTTACTTTCCTAACTCTTTCTCCCTTTCTCCTCTTATTCTTTCTTTTTCTCCTTTGGTCTTTCTCTTTTCTCTTCCCCTTCCCCTTCTTTATCCTGTCATCCATCTTTCCTTTCTTTTATCACCCATTTTCACGTAATTGATTCCATTCCTCCATTTCCTTTCTTCCCTTCTTTATTCAACTGTCTTTTTTTTCGATCCTTTATCAACTATTTTCACTTTCTTGCCACAATTCCTACTTTTCTACTTTCTTTTCTTTCTTTTTTTCTTCTCTTCTCTTCATTTTTTTCTTCCTCCGTTCACCCGTTCCTTCTCTCCCTTTAATCACATCTTTGTTTATTTTCTTCCTCCTCTCTTCCTATCCCTTCTTTTTTCCAAGCGTTCTTCTCATTATTTCAGTGACTCGTTTTTTTTTCTTTCTCTTTTTATATCCCCTTTTTTATTTAACATTTCCATCATTGTCTCTTTCTTTATCACCTCTTTTTTGTCTCTTTTTTATCACCTCTTTGTTGTCTCTTTTTTATCACCTCTTTTTTGTCTCTTTTTTATCCATACATTCCATCCTTTCCACTTCCTTTATCGCCCATTTACACGTCTTCACTCTTTCCCTCCTCTTTTTCCCTAAGTCACCTGTTCCATTTTTCCTCTTCCTTTTATCCCTCATTCATCCTAGTTTCGTTCTCTCCTCCGCTTTTATCCAACCGTCCCATCTCTTCTTTCATCTGCTCCTCACCCTCCATTCCTCTTTTATTTCATCGTCCCATCCTTTCTTTCCATTATCGCCCATTTTCACGCTTCCTTCCTTCGTCGCCCTTGACCCACTCCCTCCCCCCCCTTCGTAGCCCTTGACTCGCTTCCCCCCTTCGTCGCCCTTGACCTACTCCCACTCCCCCCTTCTTAGCCCTTGACTCGCTTCCCCCCTTCGTCGCCCTTGACCTACTCCCACTCCCCCCCTTCTTAACCCTGGACTCGCTTCCCCCCTTCATCGCCCTTGACCTACTCCCACTCCCCCCCTTCTTAGCCCTTGACTCGCTTCCCCCCTTCGTCGCCCTTGACCTACTCCCCCCCCCTTCGTCGCCCTTGACCCACTCCCACTCCCCCCCCCTTCGTAGCCCTTGATTCGCTTTCCCCCTTCGTCGCCCTTGACCCAGTTCTCTCCTTCGCCGCCCTTGACTCACGCCGTTCCCCTCCCTTCCCCTCCATTAGTCAGCCGACCCGTCATTTTTTCTCTTTATCATCCATCTTCACGTCCTTGGCTCACTTAATCCCCTTCCTCTGCTTCCATTCCCTTTTTTATTCAACCGTCTCTCTCTCTCTCTCTCTCTCTCTCTCTTTCCCATTCTCTTTTCCTTTCCTCTCTCGTCCCCTTTCGTCCTTGACCCACTTCCCTCTTTCTCTCCTTCCCGTCCTCTTTTCCTTTCCTCTCTCGTCCCTTTTCACGTCCTTGACCCCCTCTCCCCCTTTCTCTCATTCCCGTCCTCTTTTCCTTTCCTCTCTCTTCCCCTTTCACGTCCTTGACCCCCTTCCCCCCCTTCCCTCCCTTCCCCCTGCCTTCTTCTCCTTCCCGTCCTCTTTCGGTCGACTGGAGGGATAATTTTAACCCCGCAGTCGCTGGATAATGCAACGCGAACGGACGTCGTCGGGGCGCGATCGGCCGGCAACGGATCCTTTCGAATGTTTCATCCGGCCGATAATCGAATATTTCTTTTCTTTACTTTTCTTTTTCCTTTCTTTTTTTTTTCTTTTCTTTTCTTGAGTGGAGGGATGGGAGAAAAGGAGGAAGGGTTCTTCTTTCCTCCCTCGGGAAGGGGAGGAGAACGATTGAAAGGAGGTGGGGGGGGGAGGAGGGAAGGAGGGGAAGAAAGGGAGGAGGGACGGGAAGAGAGACAGAATGGAATGGGATGCAGAGGGAGGGAGAGTAGGGTGAAAGGAAGAAAGGGGAGAGGAAAGGGAGGATGCGATATGTAGGGATGGAAGGAAAAGGGAAGATGGAAGGAAAGGGTAATAAGATAAATGAGAAATATTAAGAGATGTAGGGGTGGGGGAACTGGAGGTGAGGGAGGGTGAGGAAGAGTCTGACGGAAGGAGAAATGAGGAGAGATGGAACAAGAAAGAGGGTAAAAGGGAGAAAGGAGAAGGGGAAGGAGTTTTTGAATGGAAGAAAGGGAGATGGGAATAGTGTGGGAGGGGGGGGGGCGGGGTAGGAAGTGCAACGGAGCAGAAGGGAGGGAAGAGAGGGATATGTGGTAAGGAGAGAAGGGTGGGGGTAGATTGAAAGGAAAGAAGAGAAAAGGGAAGGAGAACGCTGAGAGCTAAGAGAGGAAATTCAGGAGGGAGAAGGAGGAGGAAGTGGAGAAGGAGAACAGGATAAGGAAGAGGGAGGAAGAAGGAGAGGGGGAGGGGGGAGGAGCTGTGGAGGGTTGGGGTCAGGGGGGGAGGGGCGAGGGAAGGAGAGACGGTCAGACGGTTTTTATTATTAGTAGTATTATATATTTTTTAAAACAATAACGTTATATTTATCTTTTATCCTGTCTCATATTCCCTTTTCTTATTGAAGTTATATATTTTTTTCTCATTATCGCTGGTAGCACTTTTATAACCTGCATGGATCTTAT